CTTCTCTCCTCTATTCTATTCTATTCTATTCTATTCCCGTTCTGTTCTATTCCATTCTATTTTCTCTTCTCTTCTCTATTCCTGATTCTCTATTCTATTCTATTCTATTCTATTCTATTCCCGTTCTGTTCTATTCCATTCTATTTTCTCTTCTCTTCTCTATTCCTGATTCTCTATTCTATTCTATTCTATTCTATTCTATTCTATTCTATTCTATTTTCTCTTCTCTCCTCTATTCTGTTCTATTCTATTTTCTCTTCGCTCCTAATAAAGGAATCTTTGAGTTCACGAATGCTGGCTGGGGAATTCTGGGAGTTGAAGTCCGGACATCTTCAAGTTGCCAAGGTTGAGAAACACTGCCTTAAACCACTAGACCCAACTCTCCCTCTCCCTCTCCTCCCCCCCCAGTCACTTTCTCTCCCTCTGTTTGCAAAGGGCGAGCTTAGGCTTGTCCCCGCAGAGACCGTGGGAAGACTCTTCCCTAGGCAAGGGTGGGGAAGCCAGAGGTGGCTGAGCCAAGCCCCCTCCCCCCCAATCAGTGGGTGCTGGGAGGCATGCCCCCTGCCCTCACCTGGATGGTCTCCTGGGAAGCCAGCAGGGCCTGTTCCCGCTCGGCCAGGTGCAGCCGCAGGTTGGCCTCCGTCTGTAGAGGCACCGGGTAGCCTGTCTGCCCCTTGAGACCCCTGCAAGTGGAAGACGGTTACAGGGGGCATCACGTTCCCCCCCCCCAAATGGTGGACTCCCTCCCCATTGCACGCAGAGGAGACCTCCCCCCACAGCCTCCCCTTCCCCGTCGCAGGGAACTGAGTTCAAGTCTCCCCACTCAGAGGAAGACGGACGGCCATTTTATCTTCTCCTGATGTTTGACCGGCATCTCAACAAGGTTTAATTCGCCCCTTCGGCTCTTTCCCCTCCCATGGACGGCCTGAAACCCGCTTGAGAAGCACCTGGTGGCAAGGAGTTCCACCTGCCACCTGCTTTTCCTGGAAGGCGTCCTGGGAAGCTGTGCAGAATCCCTCCCTCCCTCCGTCTCCATCTGCCCGTCTCTCTCTCTCTCTCCCCCCCCCCTCAAGAGCATTGGCAGGCAGTCCTCGACTTACAACCGTTTGTTTAGTGACCGTTTGAAGTCGCAGCAGCACTGAAAGAAGCGAACTGGCCGCTTTTCACACTTAACGGCCGCTGCAGCATTCCCAGGCTCCCCGGATGGCAACTGACTCACCTTTATGACAGTTGCGGTGTCCCCCTTTTGCGACCGTCTGGCAACTAAAGTCAAGGGGGGGGGAACCGGATTCACTTAACAACCGGATTACCACCTGAATCCAACTGCGGCGATTCTCTTAACAACGGTGGCAGGAAAGGTCGCGAAATGGGGCAAAGATCACTTAAGGGCCGTCTCGCAACAGAAATCTGGGGCAGCCGTAAGTCGAGGACTCCCCGTGTTTCACAGCTCTGACCTCCCTGGGCTGCAGTTCAACAGGGCAGAAAAGGCGAGAAGGAGCCCCCTGGATCTCCCTCACCCCCCCCCCCACCGGCCACGTTCTTGGGTCGGGGGCTGGAAGACCCCCACCTGAAGAGAGCAACCTCGGACACTCACTTTTCTGAGCCAGGAGAGTCCTTGGTGTATCCCCCGGTGCTGTGGGGCACGGACTTCGTGGTGTAGCCTGGGAAAGGCCAAAGAGAGATTAAGGGGTGGGAGGGTGTGGGGCCCCCCAAGAAAGCCCATTCAACCCCCCCTAGCTGTAAGTCAGAATTCCCTTTGCCTGAAACGGCGGAGGGTCTCCTGCCTGAGGCAGGGGGCTGGACTAGAAGACCTCCAAGGTCCCTTCCAGCTCTGTCCCATTCCATTCCAAGTCCCTTCCCCCCCCCCCAGCCTTCTTGCAACTGTGAACCATTGTTAAACGGACAGTTGAGAGCCAGGGACTACCTGTATTCAAGACCCAGGTTAAGCCCTGTTGTCCGAATGCCTCCATCCAAGGGGAACAAGGCATTGCAAATGGCAGGGAGGGCATCCGAGCCTCGCCCGCCCTAAAACTTCCCTGTTGGCTGCCAGAGGTGGAAGAGGCGGTGACATGCGAGTAAGGGTGAGGGCAACCTGGGAGCTCGGAGTGGGAAGAGGGAAGGGAGCTGGTCGACGGGGGGGGAGGGGGGGAGAGGCTGGGCTGTCCGTCAACCCTCAGACGGAGAGTCAACAGCCCCCAGGTCTGGAGGTGGCTGATGAGGAAGAGGAGGAACAGCTGGGTCCAGTGCCTGACGCACGGATGCACCGAAGGCAGAGGAGTGGAGAGGAGTGGAAATCTATGGGACGGTCCTCGGGACGGAAGAATTACCACTGCTAGCAAAGTCCCACCCTAACTCTGGAGATAAAAGCTAGGGCGAGGAGATGAATAGATGTGGCAGAGAGGAGAGGAGAGGAGTGGAAATCTATGGGCCGGTCCTCGGGACTGCTAGCAAAGCCCCACCCTGGCTCTGCCGGACGGACTTCTTAGCCTGCAGTGAGAGAGAAACTTTTTGCGCCTAGTTAAAGGAACCTTTGCGTTCACTTGAGAGGATTTGTGGTGTCCGGGGAGTTGGGTCAGAACAGCCCACCTTTGCCCTCCATGCCCTCACCTGTTTCCATGTAGTTGTTCTCCTCCATAATGGAGCGCATTCCCAAGTCCTGTTTCGAGAGAGAGAGGAAGAAAATCTCGCGCATCGATCGCTATGGCATGGCACGACAAAACCGCGCTCGACTAAAGCGCGCTCGACGAAACCGCGTCGCTGACGTCATCAACAGGGCGACAACAGCGAGCNTGGAATTAAGGAGAAACGTCCTAATAGTTGGGACAATTAGCCAGTGGAACAGCTGGCCTCCAGAGGTTGTGAATGCTCCAACACTGGAGGCTTTTAAGAAGAAATTGGACAGCCACGTGTCTGAAATGGCCTCAGCAGGGGGTTGGACTAGAAGACCTCAAGGTATTCTCCAAAGCACCTGAAGGCAGAATGAGAATAACAGACGGAAACTAACCAAGGAGAGAAGCAGGCTAGAATTAAGGAGAAACTTCCTAACAGTTGGGACAATTAGCCAGTGGAACAGCTTGCCACCAGAGGTTGTGGGTCCTCCTCCCTCACTGGAGGTTTTTAAGAAGAGATTAGACAGCATTTGTTTGGAACGGTTTAGGGATTCCTGCCTGAGCAGGGGGTTGGACTAGAAGACCTCCAAGGTCCCTTCCCACTCTTGTTATTCTATTTTATTCCACTTTATTCCCCACCACCACCGCAAAAAAAAAGAGAGCGAGAGACGGAAGGGAGGATTCAAGTCTTTAATGCTGAAAAGCAGACAGAAATTTATCTTTAGAGAAGGAAGCCGCGTGATCGTAGAGAAAAATAGCGTTGGCCCCACACAAAAGCAGCTAATTGGCCCCCATAGCTTCATCGCCAAGAAGCTTTGCAGTTTGGTAAACCCACCTCTGCTGTCCAACGCCGGGTATTACACCCTCTGGGTTTTGTTTGTTTATCTTGTTTTGATTTCTGGCACGTGCCGAAGCTCAAGACAGCCCCCCCCCCCCCACAAAGAAATCTCCCCGGAGTGGCTTAGCCAAGATAAATGAGCATTTAGAAGCCTAAGCCAGTCCCTTTCTCAAGAGGTAGCCTCCGTTCATTCTTCTTCGCGCAAACAGGCTGGTAGGAGATTGGTAGTATCCGGCCTGTTCTGAGACCCTCGGTCTGTCCCACTGCAGGGAAAGATCACCGGAAGAGAGGCAGAAGTCCCCCAAAGCTTGGCCGGGCCCCTGAAGCCCAAGGGGTGATAAACAAACCCTGGGAGGTGCATGGGAACCCCTAAAAACCTACAAGAGATGCCTCTGAACTCAGTTGAAGGCATCTGGAGATACTTTCCTGCAGAGCCACATGGGGGCAATGGGCAGAATTAAGCCACAGGGATCCACGGGAGATCCTGGTGGAAGCCAATGTGCGTGGAAGGCACTAGAGCAGAGGTGGGGAGGGATCCGGCATCCCGGGAGGAAATCATGGGACAATTTGAAAACGACGACCATCGGAGATCCTACATGACGTCCTACGAGGGGCCAGAAGGACACTAGATCTTGCTAGATCTTTGCTAATCCTGCTTTGAGGGATGATTTGGAGCTCCAGTAGATGTTGACCCCGTTTCTCCTGGCTGTTCATCTTTGTGGAGACCCCAAAGTGAGTGGCTTCATTCTCAGCTTCTCCCCCCCCCCCCAGGACGCACCAATTCTCCAAGTAAGGTTTGGGTTTGGAGAAGGAAGGTGGACTATTATCTCCTCTCTTCCAAGGACTCTGCCACACACACACACACCTTCTCTTCCTCTGCAACGACAACAACAACAACGGTTGTGGGAACGTTCACACCTTGGGCTGGCACCTCAAAGTGCCGAGGATGGACGTGAGAAGGTCCCTTCCTGCTGGAGGAGCTCCTCAGAGGGGGGGGGGATCTTTGAGAAGCAGGAGAAGCGAGATCGCAAAACACACACACACACACACACACACACATACGGACACAGACGCACAATTCTGCTCTAGGTTCCCAGGTGAAGGTGGAAGCGACCATCTCTTGGCGATTCAAAGAAAGGGGAGGGAAAGGAGAGCCGGCTCTCTGGAGGTCATCTCCTAGCCGTGGTGGTGATCAAAAGAGCCACGGTGTGAATTTGGGTGTGTGAAAAACCACACTGAGGCTCAAAACCCTCAAACGGGCAGCCTCGCCCCACATGTTGCTCCGGAGCTCTGCAGAGGGGAGTTGGGGGCAACAGCATCTCCTCTTGGGCCTTGCCCTTGATTCCTCTGGTGGCCACACAACGCATCTCAATCTGTGTCTTCACAGGACACCCGCTCGGCCCACAGGAAGCCAGGACAGGGATTGGGGAGTTGGGGGGGGGGGAGTTCTGGTCCATTGGGTTTGTGCTAGGGATGGGGCGATGCAAGATCAAAGATTCGAGAAAGGCAGCCGAGGTTGCGCGAAAGCTTTGAAGCTTGACACCTTGATAAGAAGGAAGGCCCAGGAGATGCCTCCAGCAGGCAATCCCCAGCTGGAACTGGGGGCAGGGAGGTAGCCTTGGTAGCTCAGGTGTCTGATGGTGGGGAAGGGAGAAGAGGGAATCTAGAAATTGCCTCCTGGCCAGAAGCAACCTGGAATGGTAGGGGGAACCCCCCCCCCCAAACCCACTGGAGAAGGACATTCCTGAATCCTTGTATTAGCTGTGGGGGGGGGGGCATTTCCTAGTGGGACACTATGTCTGTTCCCCACCCAGGATTTTCCTCCCTTAGATGAAGCTGAAGAGTTCATCTTGGAAGGGACCAATTCTGTGGTCCTCCTGGCTGCCCATAACTCCATCCTCAGCTGTCCCGGAGGGCTTTTTCTCTCTTCCGGAACCATCCGCGAAGGAGAACAGCAAGTAGGGTAGCTTGGAAAGAGCCTGGACTTCAGAAGAAAGTGGGGGGGAGGAGGAGGAGAGGGAGGAAGAGGAGGAGAACTGTGGGGTCTTTGGGTCTCTATGAACTTGGCTGTTTTCCTATAGATGTTTCATGACCCAACTAGCTAACATCATCAGTGCTAGAAGGGGGGAGGAGGGGGGAGGAAGAGGGGAGGGAGGAGGAGGGGGAGGAAGAGAAAAAGGAGAACTGTGAGGTCTTTGGGTCTTTATGAACTTGGCTGTTTTCCTAAAGATGTTTCATGACCCAACTAGCTAACATCATCAGTGCTAGAAGGGGGAGGAGGAGGAAGAGGAGGAAGAAGAGGAGGAGGAGGAGGAGGAGGAGGAAGAGGAAGAGGAGGAGAACTGTGGGGTCTTTGGGTCTCTATGAACTTGGCTGTTTCCCTATAGATGTTTCATGACCCAACTAGCTAACATCATCAGTGCTAGAAGGGGGGAGGAGGAGGAGAAGGAGCAGGAGGATGAAGGGAGGAGGAGGAGGAGGAGCAGGAAGGGAGGAGGAGGAGGGAGGAGGAGGGGGAGGAAGAGAAAAAGGAGAACTGTGAGGTCTTTGGGTCTTTATGAACTTGGCTGTTTTCCTATAGATGTTTCATGACCCAACTAGCTAACATCATCAGTGCTAGAAGGGGGAAGAGGAGGAGGAGGAGGAGGCTGAGATTCCAAGCCAACTTCTGGCCTCCCAGCAGAGCCAAACCTGGGGAAATGCTCTCTGAGGACTCTACTGTTCCTGGTGGTCTCCTTAGATGCCAGGAAGCTGCTGTCCACGGTGATCGTGGCCTCCTTGCCCGGATGGCTGGAGATACAAGCAGGAGGACTTCTCCTCCAGGAGGCAGGCACGATGGAGCCTGGAGACGGGGACTGGGCTCTCCTGGAGGTGGGGGCCCACTGGCTGGACCTCACCCTGCCTTCTTTCCTCCGGGCACAGCCTCCCCTGGGCTGGGCTGGGGTGCTGGTCGGGCGAAGGCGGCCCTTTGGGGCCAGAAGGCCTCCGTGGAGGAGGGCCTTCTTCTTCTTCCAACATCTCAGCCAGGCTGGAGGACTGCAGAGAGAAGCAGCGGTGGGCGCTCAAGGAACCAGGGGAGCCCGGCACGGCCGGAAACGGTCCGAAGAACCACAGCTGGGGAAGGGGGTGGGGTCACTTCCGCTTGGGCTCCGCCTGCTGCAGACGCCGGGAGAGATCGTCGATCCGGACGTTCTTCAGGTGCAACAGGTGCTCCAGGCGGCGGATTTTCATCTGCAGAATCTGAGAGGAGAGGTTGGAGTAGGGGGCCTTGGCTGAGCAGGGGGTTGGGCTAGAAGACCTCTAAGGTCCCTTCCAACTCTGTTATTCTAATTCTATTATTCTGCTCTGTTCTGCTCTGCTCTATTCTATTCTATTCTATTCTATTCCGTATTTCTATTCTATTATTCTATTATATTCCTCTTCTGTTCTGTTCTATTTTCTCTTCTCTTCTCTATTCTATACTTTCTCTTCTCTTCTCTATTCCTGATTCTCTATTCTATTCCATTCTATTCCATTCCATTCTATTCCATTCTGTTTTCTCTTCTCTCCTATATTCTGTTCTATTCTATTTTCTCTTCTCTTCTCTTCTCTATTCTATACTTTCTCTTCTCTTCTCTATTCCTGATTCTCTATTCTATTCCATTCTATTCCATTCTATTTTCTCTTCTCTCCTCTATTCTGTTCTATTCTATTTTCTCTTCTCTTCTCTTCTCTATTCTATACTATTCCATTCTATTTTCTCTTCTCTCCTCTATTCTCTTCTCTTCTCTATTCTATACTTTCTCTTCTCTTCTCTATTCCTGATTCTCTATTCTATTCCATTCTATTCCATTCTATTTTCTCTTCTCTCCTCTATTCTGTTCTATTCTATTTTCTCTTCTCTCCTCTATTNAACCTCTTCTATAAAAGAGGTTAGAACTGGCAGGAACCCACTCCTGGTTGAAAGCCACACATTTGGAAGGTGTGACATAGTCAAAGAGAAGGTTGTACTAACAAATCTCCATGCATGTTCTGATGCAAGTGTACAAAACCAAAAACATAAGAGTACTTTATAAAAAATATAATGTATAGAAAAACGGCTTCAATTCTGAAGGGAATGATTTAAAAGACGTTTATCATTCATTTTTGAAGGATTCTTTGGGTAAGATCTGCAATCCAGATATCACTAGCTAGATATCATTGGACTTGATCTACATCTTCTTCCAAGGCAAAAATCCATGGAAGAAGTTTTGAACAGAACATGAGCACATATATTTCCTTACCTTGCCTGGTAAGGAATCATTTGGAAACCAACCCACAAGCTCGGAGAACGAACCTTCACCCTCACATTTAATTACTTTCCCCATGAACGTCATAGGAAGATAACAAACAGTGCAGCAAAGACATGAATGTTAAGGCGAGTTGGGGCGAGAGAGTTATATTTATTAAAAAACTGATATTGTCCTTATATTAATGTAGGGTTCCCTACTTACATTTACATAAGAAAGCATGCTGGAGAAATGAGGGAAATGGCAAATATAAAGTATTTTTTCTTATCGATATTTTGATTGAAAAAAAAACAGCAAAGGACATAACAATGTTAGCTTGCTGATGCAGTCAAGAAAAATCCAATTTGTATTGATCTTTTGCTAGCAAAAACTAACCTCAGGGGGTTCATCATAGGTAACATGCTGGTTTGGGGGTTCCTCATACACCACCTCCTGTTCTGCTTCTGGTTGGAAGGTTGCAGCTCCTGCCTTGTGGTTCTCCTCCCTGGCAGAATTACCTGAAAGAAGCATTCTCAATTTCAATCCTCAATGTTGAGAAATCAAGACTCATGTTTCAGGGTCATTTCTTCCTTGATTTAATAGCTCCCCCCCCCCCGTATCTCTTGCTTTCCTTTCAATACAGCTTGTCTTAGCCTGTCTCACTTTGATTTTTATCCTCCCTTCATTCTTTTTACAAGCAACTCAAGGCAGCCAACTTATCTATATAACACACCTTCCTCCTCCTATTTTCCCCACAACAACTCTGTAAGGTGAATTCGGCTGAAAGAGAGTGACAGGCCCAAAGTCACCCAGACAGTTTTCATGCTTAAGGCAGAATTATAATTCAAGTTTCCCCTTCCGACAGCATCTTAACCACTACACCAACACATTAACCTTCTTACACACAGTGCAAACTCATGGGTTCTCATTTGTATCCCCTTCCTGCAAGCTTTTCCAATGGAGCAAGAAAAAAAGATTGTACCAGGGGCCACATGACGGAAACAAAACACACACACACACACACTATACAATACAAGAAGAAATGGAACAGAGAGAGATCTTGTTGGGGCAACAATGGACTTCTCAAGCCTTTGAAGAAAAGAAAGATCACTGAGATGGATGAATGAAGCTGCACATTTCACATCTTCTCAACACAAGAAAATAAGAAGTAAATCCAGGGAAGGTTCATTTTGACACGAGGATGAAAAGAACAGCTGTTAACAAATCTAGCTAATGAAGAATGAGGCACAGATTTGGTTAAACAAAGGCTTGGTAAAGACCTTCTGAGAGCAGGACTGGGGAGAGTTTGGTCATGAGAATGCACCCATAACCTGGGTGCATCCTTGTATTAAAAGAAAGGCATGTAACGTATGCGAGAGGTATAAAGAGTACAGGGAAGCTGTCCCAAGCAAAAATTCTTCTTCAGTGAAATAACAGGAATGAAGCAAATAGCTTGGAAAATGTTGGACTGGAGCAGCTTTCGTAGTCAAATTCAGCTTTTTCACATTGGGAGAAAGCTGTACTATACTCAAAGAAAAAAGAAAATGCTAAAACAAGATCTTTATCTATGCTGCTAACGTAACATAAAGTAACATAAAAGTCTTCTATTTTTCTAAAACCTGTTTCTCTCGCACGCTTTCAGGGAAGGGGGTGACAGTTTCCAGGCATGAACCTGGACACAAAATGGCAGAATTTTAAACTCTCTGGGGAAATCATGGCTTGGTCAAGGCTACTTTTAGGAGAACATTCTGTCCTGTCAAAACCCCTGTTCTGGGACACCTTTTCCCCGCAGGATAGGTTTCATCCCCTACAACTGAACGTGTTCAAACGAGCTCTGGAAACATGGCGTGTGTCAGATCTGTGAATCTGCCATTCTTCAGGGGAAGGGGGGGGGGAGAACCCTGATTTATTATACATCTTTATTATATTGTGTATCCTGTCAGGCCTGCAATTATATTCCTGTTAGGATCTTTGGCCTGCCATACTTTCTCTTATTTCATTATGCTGTTTCATTGGTGTAGTAGTTGGGAGGGGGGGGGAATAGAAAGGAGTAGGATTGTGGAATGTATTGTTGTCATTCTTTTCTAGAAGCCAAGGTCATCTTTTGTCTCCGCACCTCTGCATTTGACCGGAAGCAGTTGGGTGTAGATGCCAGCGTGGAAGAAGAAGATTGGACAATGTGATGGATTGTCACCGTGGGGACAAGATCATGAACTTTTAACTGGGTGGGATTCTGATGTAATTTCCAGAANACTGGTTCCACCACAATACCGCGAAGCCCTTATCCGCGGAGACATAAGCGCGAAGGGCTAATCCGCGCCGTTCGAAGCGCTAAGGAAAAACGTGACTCTACCGCGCTGACATAATCGCGGAGGGCAAATCTGCGCCTTCCGAAGCACTCAGTACCCTAAACCTAACCCTAAAGCAAACCCCTAAACCTAATCCTAACCCTTACCTTAATTTAAATCGGCTTTCTGCTGTGGCGCCGTTTTAAAGTGCCCTTCTGTTGTTGCGGCGGTCATGACGTCGCGGCTTTAGCGACGTGATTTTATCACCCCTATTTTGATGAGCGCGGTTTTGTCGTGCCACGATGCTGACTCTGTAAACCGCTTAGAGAGGGCTGAAAGCCCTATGAAGCGGTATATAAGTCTAACTATTGCTATTGCTTTTCTGCCAGTCATCACTCAGCAACAAAAATTGCCCAGGCTTTGAAAATTGCACTCCATGCTTGTGCCTAAAAACACAACTTCTACCTATATACTTTACATATTCAAGCAGCCCGAGAGTCCATTCTTAACTCTGTAAAGAGCGAGCTTCAATTTTGTATTGCTACTACTAAGGGTGAGAAGAAGACATCTTTTTATTTCAGTAAGCTTAATTTAAGCTCTAAAATGTGGTTTTCTGACTTCTGGATCACGCCCTTTTTAAACATAAGGGGAAAAAAAATACCTGTCCCTAATATGAGGAAGTTATGAAAGCAAAACATATCAAACATACCAGCCTGGTAATCATACAGAGCACGGGCACATATTCCTTTTCCTTCTGTGTTAAGGTTTTCTTGGTAGGTATCACTATAATCATAGTTAGCTTCTTCAGGCTGTTCCCAAAACAAAGAAGAGTTAGCGAGACAAAGAATGATATACTGAATCCGAGGTCATCAATCTTTTGATCACAATTCATTCACTAAAACGTCTCTTCCCAATCTTGGCCTGCTCCCAATGTGTGAAACTCAACTCCCAGAACTGCCCAAGGGGCAATAACTAAGGTTGAGAATTTTGAGAGTTGAAAGCAGTGGTGGGTTTAAAATTTCTTTAGAACCCCTTCTGTAGGTGTGGCCTGCTTTGTGGGAGTGGCTTGCCGGCCATGTGACCGGGTGGGAGTGGCTTG